AAAGACAAAACGCAAGTGCCAACCGAGGAAGAGCTACCGTCCAAACGTCTGTCTTCCTCGCAGCTAACGACCCTCTACCCTCGCGCTCCAATGGCCGAACCAGCGGTTACGTGGTGGTAGAGCTGGCGTCTACTTGGAGAGTGAGCCTGAAATATGCAGTTTTTGTAGCAAGATCATCGAAGGAGCAGGAACAGTTGAGAGTTACGGTGGCCGTCCTCTCAGAGATGAGACCTGCAGTGGCACGATTAATATGGGTGGTTATACCTACTATTAGTCGAACCAGAGCGATGGTCACCATCTCCAGGGGTGCTTTACAGCAGTGAGCAGGAGGAAGACTGCAGTTGTCAGTCTTTCTTCGGTAGCCTAAATCTTCACTGCAGAGTTACATTCCATCCTTGTAGTAGTCAAAATGTGACTAGAGATCTTAGGAACCTTTCTGTTATAATATAATTTAACTCTAGTGATGCTTTGCAAGTCATCAAGAGCTTAAACTCATCACATCCAGTGGTATGGGATTTTGTATTTTGGTATCCAAAGGAATGACCGAGCTGACCGAAGGACCAAGGCACCTGCTGCTCAGCCCTGTGATGCTCGTTTTGCCCTTCCACACACAGACTTGAAACCCAGCATTAGAAGTTGTCTTCGCAATAAATGGGGGCATACCTCTAGAACAAACTACGAGAGATTAGAGATGACCTTGGCAGATGGGTAACCAACTTACATCCCAACAAGTAGAAGTTATGCTAAGATTGACTCATGGGCCGATGATGGCTAAAATTGAAGCACATGAGGGATACCAAGAACCATTAACTGTCGCACCTGTAGTGGGAAAATGTGGGGCATTCTCAAAGATGTATGTACTTCTGTCACCCATAGTAATGAAAACAATATTGGGGGAGGATTGTAACATAGGTCTTATTAGTTTCCTAAATGAGACTAATGTTTTAAACAAAATTTAATTCTGCATATGTATGTAATATTTTTATATTTCTTACACATAATATATATGCTTTGATTTTGAATATACTATAAATTGTTTTCTTTATAAAAGACTTTATTAGTAGTAGATATTTAAACATAACATTTCAAATCTCTTAACATTTTAATCCCACAGGGTATCCGCCGCCAAATATCTTAGTCGTTGACAAAGCAGATCATTTTAAATAATGCAAGGGGTAATTTCAGACTTTGGTAGTGGAGGTACCTGCTTTTTTCATATTGCTGTGTTGCAGTCTTTATGTAAAATAGATGGTTTACACCAGGCTCACACTTGTCCTGGAAGATTTCAATGCAGTATGCAGTTGTGATCAAGTTGGCTGTGCTTTTTTTTTTTGTCAGTCCCCATGGCTTAGTAGTTCATCCCATTAGTGAGAATAGCCTCCTTTTCTAGGTCCCAGAGATTAAGGATTTTTGGCTCATGGTTCAAGGACATTGACAACATCCTTGTTACCACTGAGTGCCGAGTTCCGTGGTACCGACATTAGACAGGTCATGGCTACCCGACGGGTCCACTTCAATAACCCCCAGTCTTTCCAATGTCCACCTGAGTGTTTCACTTGGACAGATTGAGGGAGGAGTGTGCCCTAAGGTTTGCTGTTTGCCCTGGCTATATCTGACTGATTCGTAGCACTCGGCAGCCTGAAAACACCAGTGACAGCTCTTGATGCATATAGCAATGAGACAGAGCCCTTAAGCCATGAGAAAGAACCAGGATTTTAGGGGGGCCTGCTAAGAAATCTTGTTAAGTTGGTATATGCTTGTGGAGAGGACATTGGAGTCATAGAGAGCTTCATGTAGTTCATGACTGGGTTGTCAGACTAGAAAGTCAGTAGATTGATTGACCTGGCGGCAAGTGTCATGAACTTAGTTGACAAGGGTATCTGGAGTTGAACTTCAAGCCCCTTATACTGCCAGTTTTATTTTATGGAAGTGAAATCTGGACGCTTTCTAATGCCTTGGGATCTCGATTAGATGCCTTTTGTAACAGGTCCTTGTACTGTATCATTGGTTACAGTTGGCAGAACAACAACAAATGATGACATCGACAGACCGGTATTGGACTCGTTACTTGCACAATCCAGGACCGCCACCTCAGACTTCATGGACATCTAGCTCTGTTCCCTGTGTATGATCCTGTCCGAGACAACAATGAGTGGAGGAGGCCCATGAGATGACATAGGGTGTAGTGGCTCAGACAAATTGACCAGAACACTTGGCTCCATTGATAGAGTGATTTTTTGGGAATGCGATATCAAGCATAACGGACAAAACGCAAGCAAAATTTTGATATAGATGATGCTAATGATAACAGCAACAATAAAGTAATGATAATCATGATGATACTAATTATAATAACAGTAATGATTATAAAAACATTGGTGATAATAATAGCAATAAGAGCAATGATAACAATAATAGCAGCAGTAATAATGATAATACATAATCTGCCCCAATCCGCTTCCTCCTTAAACTCTCCCCTCCTTCAATCCCCTGCCCCTCT